ACCATCTATGGTCATGCAAATAGGTTGAAATATCAAAATTAAATATGTAGGTTCTACTTGTGCAATCTACACCCAATGCTATCCTTGCTTGGCGCATGATTTTACGAAAAGTTAAAGAAAGAATCTGATTATTTTACCTGCACAGTTTCCTTGTCAAAACAACTGTCACTAAAATAGGGTCGACTAGTCGATTCTGCTCGATTTACCCCTTCCATACATTTATACACAGGATTATTTGTAACATTTTCATAAACCATGAGAACGACCGATATTTCGTAGCAAACTAATATAAAGATTTCTAGCAAAGCTTCTCGTGAAAATCTCAGGTTTGTAATATGACTTTGCTATGTAAGTAAAATATTGTAGTTTTTGTCGAGGTGCTCATTTTCGATCTTTGCAGCCTTCTTTATTTTGCATTGCTTTTAACACTTCTCACGGCTACTTTTAGAAGATTGAGATGTACTTTTCACGCTCTTGAGCCAGATCGTGAGTGAGAACGTGCGTTTATTCTATTCAGGACCCTTTAAACCTATTACTATTTGCTCTGCATTGCGATTTCATGGATTTCAGCTGCATAGCATAAGTACTGCAAGACATTCACCTGAACAACGGGTTACAAAATATCTAACACTCATGCTCAAAATATGGAGCCTTACACACTCTATCGCTTATTTTCTATCTGCATGACTAACGATATCAATTAGTTGTCATGTTTAAGTTTATTAAGACAACTTTACTGAGGTTCAAACTTTCTAATCAATTTTGCAAGAAAAACCAACCTCTGGCTTTGCTGGTAATCACCATCAAATGCTGTTTAATTATTCCGAATGACCCTCACTTTTGTTTATTTGTCATAATTATCGCACTTATAATAAGGTGTTTTTATTCATTCTCTTTGTTCATATGTGAACTTTGTTCCAGAGCTAAGCGTCTAGACTATGCTTGTCAGACATGCAATCTCTATTTTCGTAACCTTTCGACAGATAATTTCACTCCTGAACGTTGCTTAACTAAAGAGTTTTTTGTTGTGCGAAAAATCAGTTTTAAGGTCATTGAGCCTCTTATTATTCTTTAGTTGAACGTAATCACGGGTTTTTGAGCATTTGTCCAGCTTATGAAGGGTCTGCTTTTTTTGTCAGTCCTTCCTCTCCATGTTCTTCCATCTGAAACAAGGTCTTCATCGATTCCAAGTCCTCGTAGGTCGGCCTTGGTTCCGTCCACCCACCTCATCTTGGGTCTAGCTCTAAGTCTTTTACTTGGTGTCTTTACCATTGTAGCTAAGCTCTCCCCTTCTGCGCACATGCCGTATCACCGTCTCTTCTCCTGCATTAACTGGCAATTGATACTATAGGCTGTACCAGTCAGCATCGACTATGCGACGTCGCGCAAGTT